GCTTGAAAACCCCAAACTCAGAAGCCTAGAGAGGGCCTTGGTAGGTCAAAGCATGATAGATCAAAACATAGGAAACAAGAAATTGGCAGGTTTGCCCAGGCATGGCAATTGTGTTTAAAAAACATTAAAACAGTGCAGCTTCAAGACATCTTCAAAGTACTTTTTAGCAGTAGACCTTCCTGGATTGCTAGCTCTAACTGTAGATATGTTGTTTGCTGTGTACAAGAGTCATCATACCTTAGTTAATGATTATTTTCTGCACTCTGCTGAAAGAAACTAGTCCCTATTCTCTGTTCTGAAACTCCAGAATGTTAATAGTACTGTATCACACAGTGATGCTCACCAAGCCTAATTAGTAATGTCTGGACAAAGTTAATGCTGCTGAGATATAAACGGTGCCTCATAAAGCCGTTAAATTACTATTCAGAGATCTGTGCCTTGGTTTTGTTTGCTTTGTGGAGGGATCTTTTTAGCTAGTTGCATGACGTCAGTGACATAAAATAAGTCAAGTACACGTTTTAACAGACATAGCGATTCGCTAGGTGTTTAGAAAATATTGTTAGACACTGATGAGTGATCAACGCTCAGAGTTTGGGGTTTTTTGTGGATTATTTTTTGTTGTTGTTGATTGGTTTTGGTGTTGTGGGTTTTTGTGGTTTTTTGTGGGTTTTTGGGTGCCCTATGGGTTTTTTTTAAGTGTGGTGTCACTAGTACTATTTTCTTACTACAAGTATATGAGAACAAAATAACTCACAACAGTGCTGGAGAGGTAATGGGTGGTAGCACTCCTTCCACCTTGTTCAGAAACTGCTGTGGTTTGCCTTATGCTGTTTGAGGTTATCAGTGTATCAGGAGAAGGTCTTGGAGGCAGCTCAGGTTACATTGAGTTGGGCTCGACTCCTTGAGGTAGAAATGGTGTTTTATGAGATCCACTACATTAAATTTTGTGAAAAAGGCTGTGAGTCAGTGGTGTTTTTCCAGTCTGAAATATGGATTAGTGCCAGTGCAGGTGGCTGTATGTGGTTGATGTTTGGTTTTATCTGAGCTTGGATAATGTTTGGTTTAGCTTTACCAGTGTGCTTCTGAAGAAAATCTCTCAGTAACTCCTATTTATTATGATTTGGTTTGCATTGTAAAGTGTGCTCAAGTACATGAACTAGGATCTTTTCATTAGAAAATAAATTGAACGATGAGTTCCAAGAAGGCATCAAATGTACTCTAACCACTAGGGGTTATTCAGCTCACACGATCTGTCTGTACCACCTTAGACCTCTTTCTCTGCTCCTCTGCTAAATGCCATCAAGTCCTCATCATCAGGTGTTTTGCTCTAAAGATCTGCTCCTATAGCTCTGTACTGCTTGTTCACCTAGTCATAGCTGTTGGGAATAATATGGCTTAAAATAGTTTAAATTTTGCTCCATTTAATTACTTGGTTTATTACAGAGATTCATTAGATCTTTTGTGATCAATATAATACGATTCATATGCCTACTGTTAAGTGATTTTCTTCAATTATTAAGCTCTCATCCGGTAGACTAATTCAGCAGCCCTGTGTCACTACTTTACAGACAAAATGATTAGCTCAGCTTTTGTACTTAATTACTAAGAGTTCACAGATCTTCATAGAAGTGTCTACTACCAAAGATTTAATATGCAAGTGCACAGTCATCTGCTGTAACTTGAGCTTCTAAGCAGGCTAAGTTCTCTTTTTCATCAGTGGAGTAACTCACTTCCAGGCTGAAGTTCATGTAATTTAAAATCAGTTGTTGTTATATCTATAGGACAATTTATCTAATCTGACTACTTTGATTTGTTGACTATTGAGATCCTACAAGGACATCTAAATTAGATTAGGTAACATGCAATATATACAGCATTAGCAGGGATATTCAGTGCTCATGACTTGCAGGTTTGATTCTTGAAAACATGCCTTTAAATAAAAAGGTCAGTTGCATGCATTAATTTTATTGACTTGAGATGGAATTTGTAAGTAATTGAAGGAATTTCTCTACATAGGATCCTGAAATATTAAGTAACTACATGATCATATAGCAAAAGATGAGGAGTTAAAAATTTTATGGGCCATTACATTCAGTTGAAGGAAACTACAATCTCTGTTATGTATAAATGATAATTATATCATTTAGCATATCAGTTTTGGGTTTTTTCTTAACTGTTATTTCAGATGGCATCATATTTACAGACAAAGGTAAAAGACAGAGAAGCTATTATTGCTAAATTGTCTGTATTTTTAAGAAAAAGTTTCTAGCTGCTTCTTCACCCTTCCAACCTCCACGAAGAAGAAATCTTTCATCTGATTTCAGCCTGAAGTTTTAGAGGTAACTGTCTGTGCTGTTTTGGTCCATGTGTAGACTGCACAGATTTTAGCTTCTTGGCCTCATTACTGAGGTTTCCCACCAGCTGCTAATTAAATAAAGCTACTTTTAAGTGGATGAACTTTATCAGGCCCTAGAAGAGGCTCCGGTTTTGTTTACATTTTATGAGAGTGCTTTTGTAATTTCTTATATTGTCAGACCAAATGATCCATACGGTTTCCAAATTTATCTTCAAAGTGCTTTCCAGCAATAATAGTAAAAATATTCAGGGCACAGTCAAGAGTCTCTTGAAGGTTCTGCTGAAATTCCAGCTTATTTCAGCAAGTTTAGTCTTACTTGGTAATCATTACAATGAAGTTAAAGATGTATAGAGAAAAAAATACGTGCAGCTTAAACTTCTGGAGTGGTGCAGTTGACTTAACCCTAATTTACATGGGCAGATGACTAATCATGCTGGCTGTTTTGACATTCAAGGTTGGAAAATCAGTAAAGGATATGCATATTGTTTCATATGAAAATCAACCAAAATTATGACAGCTTTCTTTTTTTTCCTAGACATTTATATAAAGGTTTAGGAGAAATGTAGATAAACACCTATTTTTGCATATTGGTTAAGAAAATATATATGTGATTTTTTTCTGGAAACATGCACAAGTAAATTAACTATGGGTGTGATTCAGCTCAAATTTAACACACCTATAGTTATGTTTTACATATATATGTCCATATGGAGGCTGTATCTTTATGGTGGTCAATACATTGAATTGAATGGGTTGCTGTTCCCTAAATATAGACCATTGACATCATTTTCACCTGAGCATAAAATGTTCCTGAAAAAAGAGTTTTCTGTTTAAGTATTGGATGACCAATGGAGGGCACCAATTGACCTCTGCCTGTATGGCCCTATTCAGCTTGAACCCAAATACATTGCTATATTCACTTACTTTTGTACCAAAGACTCTGTTAACTATAATAATGAGAGCAGGTTACCTACTGCACATATATGCAGTTCACTATCCTATGCTATTATTATATCCTAGAACATTAAAAATGCTGGTTTATAAGATACATGAATATTATTTTTTCTATTGAAGATTTGGTGGTGTTGGTTGGTTGTGGGATTTTGGGTTTGTTTGATTTTTTTTTTTAAGGATTTGTGTATTAGGTTATTGTGTATGTAGTTAATTAAATCCTTGAAAAGAAATCTCTTATGTGTTTGCAAATGTCTTTCAGGTACCTCTATTGGGCATTGCAATTTTGAGTTTGATCTTTGTGGATGGAAGCAAGATGAAAATGATGATTTTGACTGGAACCTTAGAACTAGCAGTACTACAAAAATGGGCACTGGACCAGCAACTGATCATACATTGCAAGAGCCATATGGTCATTATATTTTTATAAAGAGTTCATTTTTTCAGTTACCAGGACAGAAAGCTAGGATTTCTAGTCCTGTTCTAAGCAGAAGGAATAAAAACTGCAAGGTATGTAGGGGTATGATAGTAGGAGGAATTAAGAATTTTATTTGGAGAGTGCACCAAGGTAATATTCCTAAAATGAATAAAGATGATCTTTCACATATTTCTTGAGAAAAAAGTGTTGATGTTTTAGAATATACAGGGCCTGATGTTATTTCCTTGAAATCATAAGAAAAGATATATCTTGTTGAGGGAGAAGAATGACTTCTGTAGGCAAATAAGTACTCTAGGAGTCTTGGACGAAGCCAGCAGTGAGTGCAGCATCTGCCTTAGAATGTCTTATACGACATCAGCCCTGAGTAGCATACAGCTATGTAAAGGTTTGTGATTTTATGGAGAAAATGTCTACAAATACAGTAACAATTGGCTTTCAAAGAGTACAACTGCAACTGGAAGGATGCATGACAGAAGGCGTTGTCACTGTCTCTCCTCAAGAGCATGGAAAAAAGTAAGCCTTTACTTTCCAAAACATTAAAGCACAGTGATGATCCTTGATCATTCCTCTGCAAACCTGGATTAAAGTTTTCTAGACTTGATACATCTTTTATAGTCTGTGCTACAATGGTAATCTGTACTTTCACATGACATCTTTCATAACAGATCTATCAGAATCTGCTACAGGAACAACATGATGAAAAAGGGTATTTTTCAGAAAGTTGAACTATGCATTACTTTGAAATGGTATTTCTCCAAATTTTTATAGTCTTTAAGTATCAAGGCTAAAATGAGTAGCATCTCATTTTCTAACATCAGTGCCAAACACATAATGGAAGTTTAAACATTAATAGTTGCAAATAAATCTGGTTACTAACATAATTATCAATATTTTTTTAAACTAGTAATTAGAAAGAGAGCTAACAAAATATCTGTATATATTGTTTATGGAGAGGAATATTGTGCACAAATGGAGCTGCTGTAAAAGAGAAAGTGGTCCTTTTAGCCTGTGAAAAATTAACAAAGTGAAAAATTATAAAGACTAGAAAATTAGCAAGGCAGGAATGGCTTGTTTCAGGGTAAATTTGGGAAAGAATTTCTAGAACTGGGGAAGTGATCTGAGGAAAAAGAAATCTAATGAAGAGAAAAAGGAACTATTAGTATATAAAGTTATTTCAACATTCTGGGGGAATTTTAAGATTAAAGTAAAAAAAAAAATAATTAAAAATATGAAAGATGTCATGACTCAGCAATTCCTTTATTGTATGCACAGTAGAAAGAGGGGTGGGGGTGGTCGCTGGGTTTTTTTTTTTTTGGCAAGTATTGTATTTCCTGCGTATTTTTGCATTTTAACCTTTCCGATTATGTTTCAGTATCAGAAAATTAGTTACAAAGAGACCCAGTTGTTACAATTCTTTTCATTTTCAGAAATCTATGATAAATTCTTTCCGATAGACCTGAAAAGATAAAATAGCCGGGTGATGAATGACATACAGAGAACCTCGGAGAACCAAGACTAGAGAGCGAGTCTATGTTCTGTGCAACACAAGTTATGGGAATTGATATTTCACAGACTTTATAAGTCAAGCCTGAGTAATGTGGGGCCCCAGTCCTGAAAGGATTTGGACACAGGCTTAAAAGGAAATTTGTGCATAACTGTTATCAAGATGACATTACTACTATATATCTAGAAATGATGTACTAGAACAGAAGAGAATGCTGATTCCAATATACAAAGTTGTTCAGTGTATGTAGGATATAAGGGTATTGCAAATAAACATGAAGTCCAGAAAATAGCTAGAGTCTGGGGGAGGAGGAGGATATGAATTCAGTGATTATAAAAAAGAAAAAAAGGCAAACATAAAAAATACAGTATGTACTTTAAAGAACTGCAGCCAATCGGGAGCAGTCTGGTGGCAGCTCTAGGAAAACCTTTGCTCAGAATTTAATGACAGTCAGCAAATCAAACAAAATTCAGCAGTAGTAAAAAGAATTAGAGATTAATCCTAAAAATTTGAAAATCATCATATAGTTTAAAGATATATACTTATATTGAATAGACAAACCTAATTTAAAGAAGGATTTTAGGAGAAACAGAGACATTGCAGGGCAGGAAATGGGCAGGTGTTATTCTTTCCATAAAAGAAAACTGTGATAAAAATTGTGTTTGACTACTTCATTGCACAAGAGACATTCTGAAAATGAGCATAACAAAATATTTTAAAGAATTATAACATAATAAAATGTTCAAAATAATTATAACACATAGCCCTTTATGGTTTTACTAATCAATAATTATAGAAAATAAATTAAATATAAATGTGTGTTTATTAAAAAAAATGTATATTCAATGCAATAAACTGCAGAACCAGTCTAGCACATGGTAATACAAAGGGACGTGACATTACATTTCCATATGTGTCATAATATTGACTGTTATGTTTTCATAGCTATAATAAATAAGTTACAGTTTTCATACTTAAGGGCTTGTGCAACATATTAGACTAGGAAGAAATTCGAGCTATAGATAGATGTTCTCATATATAATAGCATGAATTACCTTCTTTCAGGGTCCTACATCATTACTGTAAATATTGTTTTTTGTCAGAAATAAAGTATTGAACTAGATTAATTATTAATTTGATCAAATACAAGTTTTTCTTTGTTGGTCTTGAACTGAAAATAACTGAGAAAGCAGCTAATGGTGACAACTATTCACAGTGGGGTTTTTTTAATGTTCTGTGTGTACTTTATTTTACTTCTGTACTTCATAGTTTGTTTTTCTCATTTTTACTTTAAAAAAAAAACCACAGTTTTCTAATCCAAGGACACATTATACTTTATTTTAGCTATTATTTTGCATTTCTGCAGTCCATGTTAGAGATAATTTTCTAATTGCACACTCTATAATCTAGCACAAATATATTTGTAAACAGAAAATTGTCCAGTAAACTGAAGTAACTTCTGATATTGTAAATGTTACTTCTCCCTCCCTTTTCTCCTATAAAGTATTTTTATTCTTTTACATTTACATGTAAGAGTTACTTTTTTTTTTTTAATAAGATCAACTGTCACATCTGTAATGCTGGCTTCCAAGTTTGGCTTATGGAATAGTTAAAAAATGAGCAGTAGTAAGTTTTTTATGTGTGCATTTTAATTTAATTGGCTTTGAATCAGTAAAAATAAGGTCTATTCTAAATGCTACTAATGATGCTCCATTTAATAATTAGGGTAAATACAATAGCAGAATGTGCCTGAAGTCACCTATTGTATACTTGATGCTATTGTTCTTGATTACAGATACTTTTCTGTTATCATATGTATGGAGATCACATTGGATCATTGATTGTCTACCAGAGGTCTATGACAAAACATGAAAAAATTCTCCTTAATCTTACTGGAAACCAGGGAAATTTCTGGCAGCGCAAGGCACTGATCCTTGCTGGAGGTGGAGATGAAGATTTCCAAGTTGTCTTTGAAGGGATAGCTGGAAAAGGTCCCAAAGACGGCATAGCACTTGATGACCTCACGTTTTCCAGGGAGTGTTTACCATCCCAGCAGTTTTTACCAGCAGAACCGACAATGCTGCCACCAACAGGTATGCTCCTGCTATGAACAGTCTCTGTAAGTCTGGAAAGGACGAATACTAGCATTTCTTTCATTTCTTGACCTCTCCTTCAAAAGAGAAATAGAATACACAGCTTTTTAAAGACCTATTAAAACTAAAATGCTTTTAAGTAGCCCTTTGAAATTCTACTGAAAATATTTTATGAAGTAATTGTTTGGGTACTGAGTCAACACTTGTGAATCTGCAAGACTTATCGTCCAGCCATGTATACTTAGAAAATACCTTGCTTAATTTGGTGGAATTTGTTTATCAATAGTTCTAAAGTATAGTTGTTATAAAATAAAGAACTAAGAGTGGGACAGAGACCATATGGACAGATTACAATAAGGCCAGCAGGCTTTAATGCTTTTGGCTTGTGAGAATTCCTACTTGATACTGTTCAGGCACTATATCCATCTCCTTCCTGTGTGGTGTAGTGCTAGCATTGGTGCAGTTATTTGCATCCTCCTCAGTTACTGCACAAGGGAAATAAGACTCAGAAAAATGTTACCAAAAATAAGAAAGTTCTGATGGGGATGGATCCAAACAACCTCAAGGTAAGAGTTGCTCCTGAAAGCACTGATGATGTTCATTGCTAATATTTGCTTGGACACAAATGATGAAGAAGAAACTCTTTCTGACAGAACAGGACAAATCTCTTTCCTCCTTCCACATTTATCACTAGAACTTTTGAAACGTAAACCCCCAAAGTGGAATTTAGGAGATGCATTTTGTTCCTGGGCCTACTACAAATTTCCTGCGTAGCTGCAGCAAGTCATTTTATCTCAGTTCTCTGTCTTTCTAATCAATAAAACAAAGTTAATATTTCCCAATGTCAAGGACTACCGGGAGAATGGATCATTAATTTATGTGAGCTGCTTTGCTTTGTTTCTGCTGCTAATGAGAAGTCTTCCCCTTTAGGGTATCATTAAGCACTGCTCAGGCACTAGGAAGTAACTCTGATGAGACTACATCAAACCTAAGAAATTACACTCTACTTTGTGCACAAGATAAGCAGCAAAGAAATGGGACAATGTTTTCCAGACATCTCTGATAAGTTGCTAGCACACAGTATTTGCTTCCTACTTGCCTCAAAACAGCCAAGAAAATTTATTGCAAATGAGACTGGTATTTTAAGCTTCAGCTTTATATGAATGTTACCCCAAGAGGAACACTAGCTGAGATTTCTGATTCTTTATTTTTGATGTTTTCGGGCTCTGTCCTCTTAATGGTAGATGCAGCTCCCTGTGGCAATGTTAGCAACTTTAAAAGCCTTGGTTTTGATAGTAAAGGATGTTCCAAAACACTTTTATGATGTATATAATAAAAAAGCTACTAAAATCTCAGGAAAAAGCCACCAGAGACTGATTTCTTGGTGTATCTCATCTAACATGTACTTTGTGAACTTTGTAGATTCACAACACTTTGAGATAATGGCCTAAATTCATCCTTGTAGTGAACCATCTTTTCTATATCAACGATTTTCACTTGTCCTGAATTAGACTTTACAAGACACCGAGGGTTCCAGCTTACAGCTACTATTTAGCAGTGATTCTTGTTTGGATCATTGCTTGAAATGTGAATCTCCTCCTGCCTACAGAAATGTTCTGAACAGTGGCAAAGTGCATGTGGAGGCTGTGAAAAGTGCCCTGTGAAGTAACTATAAACTAGAGCCAGCTAGAATGTCAGTGATGATCAGCTGCAAAAATCTGAAATTCTAGACTACCCTGCTTATATGCAGAGACAAAGTGAGTTTAACCAAAAGTGAAACATTTATATGCATTGCTCAAATTTTTAAAAGATTCTGAAGATGAAGAACATCATACATCAGAGATCTGATCCTTTCTCGTCTTCAGCTAAAGAGAGTATTTGTTAAGAAAGTTGAGATGTTTTCTCTCTGAGAGATTTGTAGCTTTTGAGGTCTATTCTCATAATACGACAATGAAGGATTGACAGCGATGCATATTTTTCTACCTGGTTAATATGCTTCCTCTACTATGTTTGACACCTTTCCTTTTCTTAGGACTTGAAAGGAATGTTTCTTTCATTTTAGGTACTCAAAATATCACAGTCAGTAGTAACTGTCATATTGTTTTCCCACCCTTCTCTTCACCTAAGTGAAGTTTGGTTATTCATTGTTCTTTCTCACAGTCTGAAGAGCTTCCTTTGTAATTTTTATGGCATACCAGTCTGCAATCTGTATTCTGCAAACTGAACAAATTACATTAAAAAATTATACAATTTTTTTTTTTCTTTTTGAAAGCAGAATTCACAGCAAGGGAGATTCTTCTGAGTCTTATGAGCAATATCACAGTGTAACACAAGTATAATGAAGTGGTCCGTGCTTGTTATTTCAGCACATAGAGGGATACTGAAATGGGTATAGTGTAAAAACTAAATAGAATAATTAAATATTCCTATCTGTGACAGAGACCTTCACTATTCAGAAGAATTTTTCTCTGTGTCTATGTAAATTCTTTGAAGCTGTAAACATTAAAAAGCTACATTCTAGGGTGGTTGGTTAACTTCTGGACAAACATGAAGTAATACTTAAGGGCTGAACACAAACATTGGACAACTAGAAAAAATTATTTTGAAAGTTAGCATTGTCATTTTCTGTAGAGTGACAGCATGCTCTAGACTGTCCTCATGATGTTGCTTAGCAACAATGATGCTGAAGTGCTAAGCCACTGAGAGCTGCGTAAAATGCTGCGCCTGAGAAACAATAAACATCATTTTAGGCCGGCACTTATGAACTCTTCACTGAATGAATAGTGATGCATGGTTTTGCTCATGTCCTACAACGGTACTGTTTCTAGGAAGATACAAAGACAGGTTTGTTCTAACAATGCTATTTATACCTGTTGCTGTGTCTCTGCTTTGTGGCTGGATTCTCAAGTTAGACTCTGCTCCGTGTAAGAGTCTGTCTCTAACCACATCAGCCTAGGAACTGGGCCATACTGAACCTTCAAAAGTTGCAATTCCAGCCTTGTTTCCTCTGAAATAACTTACACTTTCCTGTGGACATGGCAATCTGGCAGGATTGCATAGGTCAGGTAGCATATTTTCCTCACACTTAACCGCTCATTCTCTCGATTACATTTCAAAAATATCATGACAGCTGTTTTCTATATGCTTTTCCCAATAGAAGCAAGTTAATAGTTTTCAAAACCATGGCCTTTCCAGGAGGCAGTCACACCCTCCCCTGCTTCTTCATGCAGGAATGCTAATTTCAAAGGGAGTTATACAATCTGCCCAAGAATGTTCACAGATTAAGACAATGTCTGACTATGCCCCCAAAATTTGAGTCCACTGGCATATTTATACTTATGTTTTTGTACAAGAGACATCATGGATTTGACAACAGCTTCCATGATCTCCAAATTTGGTTGTCTTCTCTCCCCTCCCTTCTCTCCTAAACTGTTGTCACTGAGTATAAAAATGACAGATCACTCGATCAGAGTTTCTGCTTATGTCTCTGTACCACTTACCTGGGAATAACAGCTGCCAAGGGCTGCCTCATCAGATTAGCAAACTGAAATGGAAAAAGGTTATTCCCAGAAATGAAAGAATTGGTGGCTGTTGACTCAGTTTAGTGGAGAAAAACAGTTGTTATTTCCAAAATATTAAGAGTTTCAGGGAAGTGTTACATTCTGTGATTCTATGTGATGAACACAGGAATATTCACAGGAAATCAAATGAAGGTCCATTCCACTTGATATCCTGTCTCTAATGCTGTCAGTGAGATGCTGAGCAAGAACTTGTGCTGGTTTTGGGTGGGGTAGACTTCATTTTCTTCATGGTATGGGGCTATGTGCTGGAAACAGTATTGATAATTCAGGGATGTTTTAGTTGTCACATTATGCTTATAGTAAAGCAAGAACCTTTTCAATTTCTCATAGTGTCCTTTTTCTCCCAGATTCTTTGCTACAAGAAGCTGGATGGGGACACACTCAGGACAGCTGATCTGAACTGAGCAAAGGGATATATTAGGCCATAAGGCATCATACACAGTATATGAGCTAAGGGGAGTTGGCCAGGGTGGATCATTGTTTGAGGATGGGTTATCAGTCACTAGGTGGTGAGCAATTGTTGCACTGTACATCACTTGTTTTTGTATATTTCTTTATCAGTAGTTGTATTTCCTTTCCCTTTGCTATCGTATTAAACTGTTTTTATCTCAACTCATGAGGTTGTTTTTAGACTTCTCTCCCCCATCCCACAGGGTATTGGGGAGAGCAAGCAGCTGCATGGTACTTAGTTGACAGCTGTGGCCAAACCACAACAAACCAAAAAAGGACAGGCATATAAGATGCTTCCTCGTAATGTTCCTAATATTTCCTGTTTTAGGAGACCTTAAGGACTGTTTGTGGGCTTGCATATGAAGTAAACCTTAATGTATTTGCCTTCTGTATAGAATCTAATTTCCCTGGGAACACATCCAAATTTTAGCTCCTTCCTCATTTTTGGCAGCAGGTTGTACGAGTCCACCACTTGCTGAGAAAGCAACTCTGTTTTCACCCTGTCTCCTCATTGATAATATCCTTTACTGAAAATGGTGAACAAAGTACAAACCCACCTACTCCATACTGATCCCTATGCAATCATCCTTATGCAACTTTACACACTGAAGGAGTTCCAACTCTTTTCTTACATGGAAACTATTTCATATGTTTTCCTTTCTCTGACTTTTTAAAAGATCTAGTCTAATCTTTTGAGAATATGAATGAGATTATAAATATTCTGTGTAGAGTATTTAGGAAATGAGCAGTGACACGATAGCAAAATTATTATTTTTCTCTTTACTCTATTTCCTGTTAAATCCTGAAGTCTTATTTGCTTTGCCCTTTTTGAGCATTGGGCTGATGTGTTCCTGGAGCTATCTTAAGTACTCTGCTGTGTCACTTTTTGGTAGTGGTGCTGATTGGACCTCATCACCCACTTGTGAAGATGGATTGTGTTGTTCTCTGTAACTCAATTAACATTGAATT